CTATTGCTTGTACACTTTTTTCTACCACATCGTTTCCTTTCCTTCGCCTCTGTTTTGATGTGCTTGGACACAGTCCTCTGTGAACAGCCAGCCACTTTAGCAATGACCTTTTGTGTCTTGCCCTCCTTGTGGAAGGTGTTAATGGTCATCTTTTGGACAACTGTCAAGTCAGCAGTCTTCCCCATGATTGTGTAGCCTAGAGAACTAGACTGAGAGGCCATTTAAAGGCCTTTGCAAGTGTTTTGAGTTAATTAGCTGATTAGAGTGTGGCACCAGGTGTCTTCAAAATTGACCCTTTTCACAATATTCTAATTTTCTGAGATACTGAATTTGGGGTTTTCATTAGTTGTCAGTTATAATCATTAACATTAAATGAAATAAACATTTGCATATATCAGTCTGTGTGTAATGAATGAATAGAATATACAAGTTTCACTTTTTGAATAGAATTACTGAAATAAATCAATTTTTTCATGATATTCTAATTTTATGACCAACACCTGTACTCAGGAGGGTGAGTAGTTGGAGTGCAAGGTGAACAGCTGAAGAGCACACACGAAAGGTTTCCAGAGGTTCACTAGGAGAAAATATTCAGGTAGGTCTCAGGAGGTTCACTGGAAAGATCATAGGCAGAAAGTAAGTAAGTAAGTAATAACAATACAGAGACTCACATATGACTAGGCACACGGACCATAGGCAGGGTAATGCTCCAGTGTCAGAGGGAAATCATCAGGTGCCTTATATACACCTGGAGCCTCATCAGGACACGCTTGCAGGTGTGGTAATATAGCACCATCTGGTGACCAAAGACAGGCATGGAACAGGAACTCCCACAAGTTTTTTTTTTTTTTTTTTTTGCAAAATGAAGTCAATCTCTTGCATTTAATTTATTTTCTATTTTCTGTTTAATTGATTTGAATCTACACAATTCTTGCCTCTTTTTCATTTTTTTCATTCCTTGTAGTAATCACACTCTTGGAAAAGAGGTTTTTAATCTCAATGAATTATTTTTCCTTTTTAAATAAAGGATACATACAATTATCTTCTCCTCATGACTTTTCCCCCTTTTTTATCTAAAAAGAATAAGGGGCCGCACTCTCAGGAGCAGCAACAACGTGCACTCCGCCCATCTTTCAGACGACTGTACAAACCTAATCTCACTGTATTTCAATACAATGACAATAAAGGTTATTCTGATTTTGATTCTTCTGATTCTAAATAGTCTTGTGGTTATTTTGTTGCAAATTTGTGAATTTTGCTCTTGATGAGAAACTTGGGGATTGTTTTCCCTCTTGCAGTTTCCATTTTTAAATCCATGTTTTGCTTTGTTTATTGGTTTTAGCTTGATACTTGTTTTTGCTTTTGTTTTGTTTTGTTTCCAACATTTTTCAGTCATGTCATCTGGACAGTTTATTTTTTTTTGTGCTGAAACGTTTCGCCTTCGATCGTTTCAGCACAAAAACAGAAACTGTCCAGATGAAAAATGTTGGATTGTATACCTGGATTATTGAGCATGGACTTTGTTGTTTTGTTTTGCTTGTTTTTTAATTTACATCCTAGAGTCTTGTTTTTTTTATTTACATTTTTTCGTTGTTGTTGTTTTATGTGACATGTGCAGGCACCGCCTAACAATCCCAGTATCTAAAATAGCACATAATCTTTTACCTATAATCAAAGTTTGATAATCTTAAGTTCTTTACGCGTTCCCCCCCCCTCCCTCTGATATTACGGTTTCTGAACCGAGTTCAGGAGGAGGGATTGACAGCTCTGCTGGTGGCTCCCGAGCGTGTGAACGCACTATGGTTCCCAATTCTACGACACCTGTTATCGGGGCGCCAGTGGAAACTGCCGTGGAGGGAGGATGCTCTCCTCCAGGCTGGAGGAACGATCAGGAGTTACCCAGAAATAGGCCAGCACCTTTGGGTCTGGCCGCTGAGCGGATCCGCTTAGAGAGGATGGGTCTCCCTCAAGATGTAGTGCGCACAATACAGGATTCACGTGCTGCATCCACCACAGCGCTGTACACATCAAAGTGGACAGCTTTTCAGCGCTGGTGTACAGAGAAAGGTGTAGAGGCCACCTCATGTCCACTAGGCGACGTGCTGTCCTTTCTGCAGCAGCTGACAGACAGAAATCTGGCATTCAGCATGATTAAAACGTACGCTGCAGCCATCTCTTCCTGTCACGAAGGTTTCGGGGACAGAACAGCTTTTAATCATCCGCTGATGAAGCGTTTTTCAAAAGGTGCACAGAGACGCAGGCCTGTTTCACGCCCACTTGCTCCACAGTGGGATTTAACGCTGGTTCTGCGAGCCCTGATCAAAGCTCCATTTGAGCCACTGAATCAGGTTCCAATTAAATTGTGGGTGGGGTAGGTGAAACACCCACACTTGCCCCCACCCTCATTCGCCCCACTCTGGGCCCATGAGCAAGGCCCTTAACCCCCACCATGTGCTCCCTAAACAGGTCTCTCTTGAAAATGAGTTCTCGTGGCTCAATGAGACTAACCTGTATAAATAAAGGCTAAAAAAAAAAAAAAAAAAAAAAAAAAAATTCTTGTCTCTGAAAACAGCCCTGCTGTTGGCTTTAACATCCGCTAATAATAATAATAATAATCATTTTATTTAAAAAGTACCTTTCAGGACAACCAAGGACACTTTACAGTAAGAAACAAGAGGACAGAGACCCTTACGAAGTTGTCTGTGCCAAGAGGGTGAGTGATTTATCTGCCCTCTCTGTCGCTCTGTCATGTCCCAGAATTCAGGTTGACGGCAGCTCAGCTGATCTGAGGCTTAACCCAGCGTTTATGCCAGAAAACATCACGAGCTCTTTTAAATCAAGAGCGATATCGTTGGAGGGTTTTTTCCCTTCCCCCCACAAATCAGAAGAAGAAGCATCTTCTCTGTCCTGTGCGTGCGTTGACATGCTACATACCACGCATGGCTGCACTGCGTCAGACTCAACATTTGTTTGTGCATTATAGAGATGCATCTGCAGGTCGCCCGTTATCCACCCAGCACCTGTCACACTGGCTGTGTGAGGCCATTTTTGAAGTCTACAGAGCATCAGATTTAGAGCCTCCTGAAAATTTCAGGGCGCACTCGACCAGGGGTATCGCATCTTCGACTGCTTTGCATAATGGTATGACAATGCAGGATATTTGCACTGCGGCCGCGTGGTCAACACCCTGTTCATTTATTCGCTTTTATTTACGTGATGTGTCGACTTGTTCCATGACGCATTCTGTCCTTAGTGCCTTAACAGAATGAATATTGTTGTTTCATGGAATCTCGTTTAAACTCACATCTGACTGCATGCATTTACAGTGTGAGATGTTATCAGTCACAGGTTGTGACTGTTGTTCTTGTTCTATTGTTACTAATCAGTTCATGACTATTGTTACCAATCAGTTCATTTGATTAATAATCAGTTCACTTGTTATTATTAATCTGTTCATATTGGTCAACCGTGGATCTGCTTGATTCACGGCCTTTTTCAGCCTCTTCCTTTTCCCCGTTGAAAACTTTTCCGGGGCGTTCATGCACTCAGAACGCATAACTACGCAGCACGCGCCTGTGCATGGTACGCGTAATTATGCCACGCGCAATTACGCACATGGAGAGGTGAGTGACAAGACTTTTTTTGGGCAAGCTGGCTCTTCATATAGTGTTTGAATGGACCCAGTGAGGCGAGGACTATATCATGCTTCGCCTTTTAACCCAATAGCAAAGGCCTTAAAGGGCGAAGCCTATACAAAATAGAACGTTGGTTACGTACTGTAACCCCAGATTCTATGAGTATAGGTGTAGCCCTTTAAGCGTCGGGCCTCACTGGCTCCTAAATGGCTGAAGAAAAAGCTATTGGGAGCAGATTACCCGCTCTTAACATAATTTATACGGACCGGGTGGGGCCCACACAGCAGGTGGGCGTGGACTAAACTTTTCAGTGCGATGCTTTGCATGACGGGATAAACCCAATAGCGAAGGCCTTAAAGGACTACGCCTATACTCATAGAATCTGGGGTTACAGTACGTAACCAACATTTTTCTATGCCAGAAAGACTGAAATTCTAGAGAATAGAATAGACTTGAAACTTTTGAGATGGAGAATTTGAAAATAATATGAAATCAATGTTGAAAATTCCTCATTGTTACTGATTCTGCCAACACGGGTAACATAAGGATTCATTGAGACTTAAGTGCTTTACCCTCTTTTTTAAATTTCCAACAATGTTCGGTCAGGTCATCTGGATGGTTTCTTTTTTTTTTTTTTTTTGATGAGACGTCTCGTCCTTCATCCAAAGGACTTCTATTTTCTGAGGAGCCACAAAACAAACTGAGTCCCGCATATAGCATTCTCCCATAATGGAAAAAAAATCAACAAAAACAAAACACTACTGAGCATGAACTTTGGTGTTTTGAACCACTGTGGCATGACTGCCTCAGAGGAGTTGGGGGAGAGGGCGCCCTGGAGGCCATCTTATCACCAGCTGTTTGTTTTTTTCCCCACTATGGGAGTATACTGCTTGTGGGACTCAGTTTGTTTGGTGGCTCCTCAGATTGAACAAGTTCTTTGGATGAAGGACTAAACGTCTCAGCAAAAAAACAAAAACAAAAAACAAACAAAAAAAAAAACGAAACCATCCAGATGACATTAGACATTATTGGATTTTTTTACCTGGATTATTGAGCATGAACTTTGGTCCTTTTTAGTTTGTAGCATCGTCACACTTGATTTCAGGTAGGCTAAATCCTTCACATGAAACTGAAAGTGTATTTAAATTATTTGCCTAACAGATATTCACCAAAGATATTAGTTCACTTCACTTTAATCTTACTTTTATTTTATTTTTACCTCGCCATTGCTTTAATTAGACCTGTACAATTACTCTATATCCGGGTAGGTGTTGTACATTACTCCGTACAGCCTGTGCGCTGGAACCCCGCCATGCGCGCAGAAGCGCACGCAGCAGGTGGGAGGAGCTAAAGCTGCCTGGAGTTTGTCAGCTTCCTAAAGGCAGCGGTCGATGTCCAGTCAGCGTCTCTGTCATCTGGAGACATTGAGACGTCTTGTGTGTACAGGAGCTCTGAAAGGCGGCGGGGTAAGTGGACCAAAACCTTTTTTAAATGGGTCCAAGAGTCTTTACGGTCTGTACGGACCGATGTGTTGGGTCGGGAGGGACACTTCTTCCAATGTTCTTCTCAAACTGTTTTTCATCACATCTGCTAACTCTGTTTTCATAAACACGTTGTCAGCACAGTTTTGTTTTGTGCGTGTTTTCCTGTGTCGCACACAACACCAGCATTACTAGCATCTCAGATGTCTTAGAGGATTTTAGGCTTTCCTCCTACAGAGTTTGTTCTCAATGGTTATTTGGACATTTTGAGTTAAACTCGTATTTAAAGACGTTTCAGTTCAACAGTGCTTGTTCACTGTAATCTTTAAATAACTAAACAAATGCATTCATTTATCATCACGACATCCTGGACTCTTGTGTGATGCTTTTAAATATCGTAATTCATTGTCTAAGGCAGTTTTTTTAGTCTTTGTGTTGCAGAAAAATATCCAGTAAAATTCTCATGTCATAACTTTTGACTGCTTAAGACTTTTTCCTTTACTTTATTGCAATGGAAAGTCTTTGGATGGATTTGAATGAAACTAAAATAAATAACTCAATGGATGCATGTGCAACTGGTTGAAGTCAGCCTGGTTTAACATGGCTGCCACAAACAATCAGCAAAAACCACTTTAAGTCAAGTAGTTTGACGTATTTTGAGCTACATCATAGTGTGGTTGTATCTGAGACTTTTCCAAACTATAGGGTTTTAAATGGTAAATAGACTGTACTTATATAGCACCTTTCTATCTTATCAAGATACTCAAAGCACTTCTTTACACTACAATCTGTGCCCTCGTTTACCCATTTATACAGCACTCTGCTATATTTATACAAAGCTAAGTGAACAAATCATTCTAAAGAGACTAATCAGTGATGGGACACACATCGGAGACAGTGGGAGGTTCAGTATCTTGCCCAGGGACACTTTGGCATGTGACTGCTGGTGGATTCGAACCCTTAGCTCTTGCATTGGAGGGCGACTGCTCTAACCGCTCAGCCACAGCAGCCCCGTTTTTAACAGATCAAGTGAGATTTTTGTTTAAGACTTTGCATAATATTTATTTCTACAAGGAATGGTATCATCACAGTATACTTTTTGGATAATTTGAGTAAGAAGAAACTATTACAAGTTCATGACAACAATAACTAGATAAATTCACATTTAATAACTTTACAAATTGTTTATTTTCCATCCACAGGTCATATCAAACAGGCTTTGAATATGTTGCATCTCAGTCATGCATCCTTCACACTTCTGCCTCATGTCTGCTCTTGTTTTCATATTTCTTTAGCGGGCCTGGCAGCATGTGGCATCAGCTTCAATTATTCTCCCTGTCAGCTGCACAGCACTGCCTGTCTGCTGCTTTTAGTGATTACATGTTTCAAGGGACAGGTAATCAGGTCACAGCTTCTCCCGACCATATGGAGCATATAGGATGAAAGAACGCCTCCATCTTCAGGGTCTTACCTAACATATCTCTGTTTTTGATACAGTTTGCAGTAGGTGTGCAGTACTTTTATTTTCTATGTTGTAGGTTGTTGGTGCTTTTCTTCTGTGGATTTCTGTAAAGACCCAATGAACTGTGGCTAGTTTGTACAAGAGCATGTTTGTTGATGTCAGCATGAACTGATGGTGTAAGTATAAATGTAATAGATGTTTTGTTTTATCTTCTCTGTTCTACGTAATGATGAACTGAAATTTGATGTGAAAGCACACCATCATTACTTCCTATCTTTTTTCTAACAAAAAGGATTTGACTTCAACAGAAGAAGGACACTAATATTACAGTGGAGGTCAATAGTTTCAGTATAGGCCAGTATTAGTGCAGTATTGTGAGTATAGATGAGTATATTTATAGTATATATCAGTATAATTAAGGCATAGACCAGTGTAAGTAAAGTGTAGGTGAGTAAAGTTACAGTTTATGTCAGTACAGTTACAGTATAGACAAGTATAGTTAATGTATAGGTGAGTATAGTTACAGTACTGATGAGTATTTTACAGTGTAAGCCAGTATAATTTCAGTATACACCAGTATAAGTACAGTATTTGTGAGTATAGTTACAATATATGTGAGTATACATATAGTATAGGTCTGTATAAGCAAAGTAAAGGTGAGTATAGTTATATAGGTCAGTATAGTTACAGTATAGTTATAGTATAGGTCAGTATAGTTACTGTATAGGTCAGTATAGTTACAGTATAGGTCAGTATAGTTATAGTATAGGTCAGTATAGTTACTGAATAGGTCAGCATAGTTACTGTATAGGTCAGCATAGTTACAGTATAGGTCAGCATAGTTACTGTATAGGTCAGTATAGTTACAGTATAGGTCAGCATAGTTACTGTATAGGTCAATATAGTTACAGTATAGGTCAGAATAGTTACAGTATAGGTCAGTATAGTTACAGTATAGGTCAGAATAGTTACAGTGTAGGTCAATATAGTTACAGTATAGGTCAGTATAGTTACTGTATAGGTCAGCATAGTTACAGTATAGGTCAGCATAGTTACTGTATAGGTCAATATAGTTACAGTATAGGTCAGCATAGTTACTGTATAGGTCAATATAGTTACAGTATAGGTCAGCATAGTTACAGTATAGATCAGTATAGTTACTGTATAGGTCAGCATAGTTACAGTATAGGTCAGTATAGTTACAGTATAGGTCAGAATAGTTACAGTGTAGGTCAATATAGTTACAGTATAGGTCAGCATAGTTACTGTATAGGTCAATATAGTTACAGTATA